TCCTGCTGTACTGCTGCCTTTGGCAATGTGGCCTTTTAGCATTCACTCTTTATTCCAGCAGATGTGTTTGGATCCTTTCTTATGTAATCACCTATGACTCATCGTAGGCAAACATGTAAAGAGAAAAGTTGCTTGTTTGAAACTACATGTAAAGATCCCTAGTCTGTATATATAATTTCCAGTTCTTCCTACTCAAGGATCTTTTGAGCCCTTTAATCCTTTAGGATTCTGGAAACAGGAGATCATTCACTGTGCCTTTATGACAACAGGGATGCAATAGGAAGGGGCAGGGTTCTGAGCATGGTACCACATATAAAGATTTTTTGTGGCTGAAAGTGCTACAGATAGGGATGCTTGCAATATGAAAGTGTATAGAAAAAATTTTGGTAAATAATTACAAGTAAGGAATCCTTTTATCCCAGAAGGAAGGAGAGGATAGCAAATTCTAAAACAATCTGTAATAAACGGGAGTGAGGTGTGTTGATTTTGCATAGACAACTGTCCTTTTGGTGTCTTTGGTTGGAATTTTGCCTGCTTCACTCCTGTTCATTAGAGGATTCATGAGACTGGAATGTTCATTCAGTAGAGTCATCCTCATTCTCACTTTCTTCAGTAATCAGGATTTGTAAAGAGTCATTACAGGACCACTCCTTACAAATGTGGGTGTCAATAATCATCCTACTGTCATTCAATCCTACTGTAATTGCATCTGAATCCAGGAAGAAAACTTTTATTTCTTGAATTTTTGGAGGAAAGCAACCGTGCATGTTCCTTGTGGGTGGACCCACATGAATGTAGTTATGTCTTAAAGGAGCAAAGGATAGTCAATGATTAAGAACAACAAAATATATCTTGAAAGGCTGTTTTCCTTGGTAAAACGTTCCTGTTTTACAAGGACCTTCACTATACTCTAGAGAAACTGTTGCTTGTAGAAGACTCGGCATCCTGCTTGGGGAGAGGTGTTGATAGGAGAGGCCTTCTGCTGGGTTTCCTGTAGCTTTGATGATAGGCTTACCTTCACAGCTTTTGAAAAACATAACATGGAATAACAATGAAAGAAATTATATTTTTAATGTAATAGTTAAGTATACTGTACAAAGTAATTCTATAGGAAATCCCTTAGGGTTGAGTATCCTGCCTTTGGGAGGAGCCACATAAGGTGCTGACAGCTTTGTCCCCTTTCAGTCCCCCGCTGCCACTTTTTACCTGTAGCTTTTAACACTTCTGTCTGAGATGCTTCAGTTTGTAGCAGTCAAATAAAAAAAAATCGTGGTCAGGAAATGCAAGTTGGTCTTGAGCATGAGAGTATACTCCTTGTGCCACTGTCATATGGGTGCTCAGCTCATAATTGTACAGCTCTCTGCAGCAGTCTTGGTGGCACAATGAAATGAACCAGGATAACGAGGGGTATGAATAGGCATCAAGTATTGAAAAGAATAGACATGCTTTAGATTTGCATTTCAAGAGTGTCAAAGTAGTCTATAATCTGTATCATGTCCACTTTGTGAAAATTTTTGCTGTTGTGCATTATGATGGCTAATGTAAGAAGTCTCGGATCCAATTGATAGCGAACCTAGGTGTGCCTGTCATTGCAGTGCAGTTGTCGTGTCACACATAGGGTTTCCTGTTTGCAATCCCTCCTGTATTCATAATGTGAAAATATCATAAATCTTGGTCAGATTTCTTAATCACAAATAACAGTTCTAAAATCATAGCTTTATTAATTTACCAGCACACTGAATTGATTGGTTAGGAGAGACAGTAAGAGCTAATCAATTTATATGGGTGTGTATATATATTTTTTTTTAATCTCTCTCTCTCTATGTAAAAAAATATCTCTCTCTCTCTCCTCCCTGCCCTGCTTTGTGTTCAGTAGTGCTTTCACACTGGTATTCTTCATAGCCAGATATGTACTGAATTTGGGAAACATCTCATGAATGTTGCTTTCCTTACACTGAAGTTCTTCCTTTACTGCTAACCAACACCCTTCTGAAACACAGAAGCAAGAAAACTACTGTTTAATAAAATACCAACTTGAAGAATAATGTCCTAGTCAATAGCTAGGTATTGTCACCTTTAAATTAATTAAAGTAGATTATTCTGATTTATATAGCACTAATTTATTCTGGACATGAAGCAATACTAAATTGGTCTTCTACAAGACACAAACTCATAACATGAGATGATAACGAAAAGGAAAATACAGGTGGTGCTTAAGACTGTAGGTAATTATATATTTCTCACCAATTTCCAACACTTTAATGCTTTTTTTTTCTCTCGCATCTTTAGATATGGTGAAGACTGTCTATATTCTAGTAGAATGTCTTATAACAGGGTATGTGATAATAGAAAAAGTGCGATTTTAAAATTTGTTCTTGCCTCTATATAAAGTTGGAGCCTGATCAGATGAAGTACCACTTCTGTGTGTATCTTGATACTGTATAAAATGCATTTTTATTAACATGCTTTCTCACCACTTCTGAGTAAATGGAAAACTTAGTTTGGTTGCAGCTGTGGTAAGAAACCCAGTGAGAGCACTTATTCTAGGTTTGCAAATTAGCTCCTTTATTTCTTCAAGTCATTTTTATCTTTATTTTTTTTATCTACAGATGGTAATAGTGGTTGGAGATGTCCAGCTTGTCAGAATGCTTCTACGCAAGTTCCTAAAACTTACACGTGTTTCTGTGGTGAGTTTCTTGCTTGCTTTTGCAAAGAAAAACAATTTTGTCACTTTAATTCTTAATTTGAATTCCGATATTGCTGCTTGTTTGCCTACATCCCTGAAGTTTAACCTTGTTTAAAACTTTATTGACACTGGAAGGTGGCTGTGCAGAGAATCACACACATGTTGCTTAAAACATTTAAAAATGAAATATTAAATCATAAGTGATAAATATTTTCATATCACTGTGTAAAAATAGTGATTTTTATAAAATAATGATAGAATTGGGCTGCTATCCTACAAGCTTGCTTTCTGTAGGACTGAAATAACCTGCATGTGTTATGTCTTTCTTGAGTTGTGAGTACGACATTCACTAAGCTGTAAGTGTATGACAAAAAGGGAGAAATGAATGATGTTACTTAGTTGCATACATGCAATTAAATTTTGTTTCGGATTTACACTTTGAAATTTGTGTTGATTTCATGTAGCTTTCCCTTCCTTAAGTCAGAGTCACTGGACAGTTTCACCTTGCTTTCTACAAAACAGAATATTCTGGAATTGAGACAGGAACTAGGTGTCAGTGAACTTGCTCTAAAGAAACTAGACTTATGCTGTAATAGGTGAGAATTTTATCTAAAGTTCTCTCTATCTAAATGTGTCAGTGAGTCAGTTAAGAACAGTGCAATGCAGGTAAGACAGAGTTTTTATATGACAACGTGTGAAATCTTACAATTACAGGGATAATAATTCAGTTACCATTAATGTTTTGATTCCAAATGAAAATTACACTTTTAAGACAGGTCATCCATCTGTTAAATAGGAAAGAAATTCTGCCTAAGCTTAAAGACTGTTTCACAGTTTTGGGAGATGTACAATAGGAACCTCAAGTTGTCCACAGGGTTAATATTAGCAGAGCACTGTGTTGGAACATAAGACTTTAATCTTCTATAGGTAACTTTACATTAATGATACAGCATTTGGACATCACCGGTTGCTTATGCAAAGCTATCTTCTATTTGATGCAAAATACTACCTATGTGTTGAGTATGGTTAAGTGTGGTTTGTTGTTTTTTTTCACTATTCCATGAGGAAATTCCTAGTTTAGTTTTCTTCTTAATCTTCTAATTTTCAGGGTTTACCGGGGTATTCAACTAGTTTAATTGAAACTCTGGTGAATAAATGCCAAATGTGGTGTTTATTTGTATTTTACTAACTTGCTACTTGTAGAATACACAAAAATGTACTAAAAGAGTTAAAATTATATAACTGTGTCGCCAAAAATACATTTTCTTGGTGTTTTTAGTTGTTGCAACTCAAATTTGTAACATTGGCTCAGTTGCTTCATTGTTAATTTCATTCCCCTCTTGCAGAGAGCCAAATTAGGTTTGCTTGTGTTAACCATGGCAATTAACTTCAACCTTGATGATCATCTCATGCACTCAGAGCTATAAGATCTGCTAACAGCATTTCAGATTAAAATATGGTTTGAGTACTTATCTGAAATAGAGAATACTTGAAACTAACATATGGGATTTATCAATTCTTGTTCAAGACTTCCTGCCGCATTCATAAAAATGTCAACCTTTAATGTTTAGATTTATGTAGAGTCTGCTTCTTTTGAGAGAAGTGACTTTTATAATTTGCCCAGTCATTTCATTCTGCCCCTATTCCCCATCACCTTACCAGCTAGATCTTACTTTCTGGCAATGGTGTCTTTTTGTTTGTTTGCTTGTTTTCTTCTGTGTTGAGGCAGCAAGGGAGTTTCACCCTTTAATTTTCTTACCTACTATGCACCCTGACCAACTAAAGGGGACTTTAAATTAAACTGATAAAATAGAAGAAAATTAAATGTAAAATACTAGCTACCTAAGTGCCTGCTGGGAGCATAGAAGGAAAGAATCTTCTAGAGCTTGATATTCCAGTGGCACTTACTTTTAAAGAAGTTGAGTATATATTGACACCGAAAGCTGAGAAAAACATAAAACATCTTGTGTCATTTTGTTTTTCAAAGACTACTGCCAGTATTGAAAATACAGCTTTTTCTTTTTGGTGTGATATTTTTCTCAAATTCAGTATTGTATTCAAGGCAATAAATATGTTTTTGTCTTTGACATGGTTTAGGTAAGGTGCACAATCCTGAATGGAATAGAAATGAAATCCCACATAGCTGTGGGGAACTTTGTGGAAAGAAGAGACAGTGTTTGGACTGTCCACATCTTTGTAACATGTAAGTAAATGTTTATTATATGAATATTGAAATGATCTAGAGAAAATTTCTGAAGACTGTATCTGGGTATTTTTTGACTATAGGATATGGTTAGAGGTGTATTTGGTTTATAGCTCAACTGAAGCCTGGAAGAAATAGAGGCTATTTGTGATTGTATGTCTAAAGTGAGTTCATAGGAGAGAATGAACAGGAGGTCAGCAACAACAGTTGTAACAACATTTCCATTATATTTTAGGAACTGAACCAGCTGCCTGACTTTGTTTCAAGAACTTTCATTGAAGTAGAGAAATAATAGTGAATAGAAGTAACTTTAAATGTGTGTCCAGTGGTCCACCAGACGTTTTAAGTGCTGCTTTTCCTGTAATAGTCTTTGTCTATCTTAATCTAAGAGCAGTGGTACTTGGTTAAACTAAAGAACCGCTTACTTCTGTCCTTTGTTTCTTTTTCTTTTCTTTGGCTTATAAACTGTTAAGAGGGCATTATATGTATTTATCTGTTTGTTGAGACCACCAGATGGTTGAACCAGAATCCCTCATGGAGATCTTAATCGGTATACATAATTCGGATTGTTTTTGCTAACATTTATTAGTATAATTCAATGAAGAAAGGCAAAGAAGACCAGTTCTATTTTCAGTTTTGGATGCTTTCCTTGAGATTTTTTTTTAGCACTGTGGTAGTATTATATTGATAAGGTTAACAGCATTAGGCAAGCTTTTTCAATGTATAAATGGGCTTGCTAGTCAGAAAAATAAATCATATGTTGTTCCTAGTGTATCTAGCTTCATTTTCCATGTATGAAAGTTGGTCCATAATGCCTGTTGATATTTCTGTTTTGAGAAGTTTTTAATAGTCAGAAGCAATTGTTTCTGCTCTTGGTACACAATCAAAAACTTCAGTCATCTTACACTTTTTCCAAGGTTTACTAAAACTCAGAACTTTACTAGAACTTTACTCCAAACTTTTTCTTTAATGCGTTCTGTTTCAAACGTATTTCAACATATTGTTGAAAGAAAGAATATTTCTTTTACTCTTTAATACTTCTTTCCCACACATGAAAATATTATATTTGATTTCTTTTCAGACTGTCATTTCAGTGCTATAGCTGTTTTCTTAATTCATTGTCGTACTAGATCCTCCTCACTGTGGTTTGCAGAGTAAAACTGAAACACAGATCAGCTTTCAGACTCTGCTTGATGTAGCTGATATCCTGACTCAGCAGAACACTGATTGTCTTGGAGGCCAGCTTCTGGCTTCCATCTCAGGAGAGGCATGTGTCCGTGGAGAACTTCTTTGCCCAGTCAGAAATAAGTAGACTCCTTGACTACTTTGAGAACTCCCTGACTGCAGTTTGCTACCTGACAAACTTTCCTATAGTGCTTGGAAGAAACAGCTCTTCTTTTCCTCTTCTTTCCTGTGCCACTCTACAGCAGAGGCTCAGTCTCTGGTATTCTCTTCTGGGAAGTCTTCTGAGCAGTGGTGGCAGTATTGTGCCTATTGCAAGCTACAAATTCATACTCCCTGGTAGTCTGATCTGCATCAAGAGCTGTGAAAATTGTGACTTTTTAAAGTCACAATTTGCTACCAGTTTAAGTTGTAGCAAATTTAAAAGTGTTATCATTCAGCATTGTTCCACATGAGTAAAACCATGCTGAGATCATCCAACCCTGAAGCTAAGGAAACAGCAAGAGTGCAGATCAAGATAATGGGTGGTTTTGGCAGTCTCTGATTTGTGATAATGATCTGGAGAGGAATGCACTTTCAGCATCAGTGCTACCCAGTTTGGGACATTGCTCAGTATATGTTGGACACTTCTTCCTCCCGTGTGGGAATCTTAGGTATTTATGAGGACACACTCTGCCTCTATCTGCTGTATCAAAAAGCAAGTAGAAACCTGGTTCCCTCTTGCTGTATCAGGAAGTGGTGGAGTTAGAAATGTGGAGCTTTATCATCTGAATGCATCTTTGGCAGTCTATCTTACCACCTCCTCTCCACTGGACAACCTCAACTGATCTAGAAGTCCGGATCATGATCTGTATCTGGGCAGAGTTTTCCCTCGAGAGAGTACTCAAAGGTGGACTTGTTGCCATCGGGACCAGGAGTCTGTTTTGTGGCTCTTGCTTGAGTTTAGATGATCTCAGAACTCCTTCCTGCAAGCACTTGTTTCTTTGGATTGTGGATCTGCTGTGTACCTTTTTCCCTTGCTCCCACAGGTTCCCATGAGGTGATAAGGTTTGAACCAGAAAGGCCATTCTGCTCACTGAGATCCTAAAAGCCTTTCTGTTTTTCCTTCCCCTCCCCCCCCGCC